CATAAATATTTTCCAAGTGTATTTTTTACTATTGACAGTATTTTTTGGTGTATTTTCTTCAATGATTTTGTCAATTGCCGCATCATTTTGAACACCAAAGCGAGGAAGTGACATTTTCGAAATAAATTGAATTACTGAAATGTCAAACAACTTTATTGTGTTGGTTGCTTAGCAATGTCATGACATAAGTGATAACTACCCGTGAAAACTATCCATGGGTAGTTATCAGTGTAATGATGGTTTCATTGGTTATTTCGACACACATGACTAGAAATAGACAAATTTGATAGGATAATTTTTTTGGCAAAAAATTTTCACATCAACCACCCTCATCAACCCATCAATAGTAATAAAGATACATTCATTCCCTATCTATTTTCACATACCTAAGAAATCCGTGTACTCGGGGTCGACGATGAAATTTCCTAGTGGTAACTTTCCTTCCGATTTCCACGATTCATTAAGAGACTTTCCTTCTCTGTTGGAACCTACAAGGCTCAACATGGCATCATCTAAAGATTCATGGAATAATTTTTTCATTTCTTGCGTGTCTATTCTCCTGCCCAAGTCATTCAGTTCTACTAGATAGTCCACGAGAACACTTCCTTCACTGGAAAGTAGTAAAAGTTCAAAGTTATGATTAAGAAATTTTAAATTTCGAAAAGTATTTCTTCTTTAATTGACCTCAGTTAATTATTGTAATTACTGAATCGATAATAAATTTGAGAAAACTATTTCGAATAAAATTTGAAATATCACGATTACCCAATCCATCCACCAAACTTTGTACTTTAGTTGAGCTTTCGCCAATATATTGCAACACCTTTACCTCCGCCAATTTTCAAAACTTAAAGATAATTGGACATAATTCATGTTTTTAAACAGAAACAAATCCTTTTTTCATTTGAAATGAATCTTACAGTATTCTGATATTTTATATATAATTTCTTATTTTTGAAACGAATGGTTTCACTCAGTCTAACTAAACGAATGAAGAATTTTACTTTTATATTACCATTTGGAGACATAATTTTCATATCACTATAAATTTCGTCTCAACGCCACGACGGTTGGAAATCTCCAATTTGAAAATATAAGTTGACAGTTTTTTCATCTAGTGAAATAAAAAAAGTTTGTGAAAATCTTTCGATATGTTCATATATACATACTTTCAAATGTATTTGAAGACAAGTGCCAATATCGAGTACTTGCTAAATTCAACTATTGACGTTAGGATTATCAGTCAATGAAGGTGAAGGGATGAGGTGTTGTATATTTTTGACAAAGACTCTCCGGAATTGTTGAAAATGTTCTATTTACGCCATGATTCATATATTGATTGTGAAACTGACTTAAACTTAAACTCAATTGTATTTAGAAAACACCTGAACATTACTTATTAATAGTTACTAACCTGAATCCATCTATCCTTATTTTCTTGTACCATTTATTCAGAAGAGGCGAAGAACTGTAAACGTAGTCCAGCTGAAAAAAAGAGATATTATAAATGACTGGGGTTCAATCTATTTATCAACAGTTCACTATTGCATCATCATACAATAATGGAATGATAAATTGGTGGAAATTATAACCTAGGCAGCAGTTTATCATAATATGTATTCAATAGAACATTCGAGTAGTATTGAAATATAATAAAAATTAACAGATTCATCATTTCCTTATTCGAAAATTCAATTCATAGCTTAGGCGAATAGAATAATTGATTTTGATAGTAGTATAGCAGAATCATAGGTATGTGGGGGCTCTAGTAACAGACCATTATAACGATATAATACAACAAGATAATTTTTTTTCTGATTGATTCGGCTGTTACTTGATGAAGATCCATAGTAATTTCAAAAACTACACCTCACGATTTGATCTCCACAAACTCCACAAAGACTTCAACAAGACTCGTTATGTTTCATACATTTAGCACATTTTGATACAATTGATACAAATTTGAAAAAAAAATACATGAAGTTCTTATTAAAGATTCTGTGTTCAATTTTGTTGCTGTTTTTATTGCCAGAAAGTAATACACAAACAAAAATTTCAAAAATTCTGAACAAAACTCTTGATCGTTTTTTTGATAAAGAGATTTTATTAGGGTGAAATAAAGATGAAAATGAATGGAATATCATTCTTGTCTACACACATTTAGGTGAATACGAATGAATATAGCAATCTTCGCAAACAGATATTGAAACTCTTAAGTCCAAATACAACCATCACACAAAATGAACCGAAGCAGTTAAAAATTTTGAAGAAAGAAAATCAGTAAATATATAGTTTTCACTTTTTGTGGCTTAGATTTCAACTTCAACCTCTTTTCATGTTTTTTGATTTTGAATTCATCTCACATTCGGATGGAGATGGTAGTTTGATGTTTCAAAATGGGAAAGAATAACTCATGTATTTACTTTCCCAGATAACATTCAGAGAACATTTTTTCAATTTGTTTCTGTATTATTACGCCTGAGTTGTATAACAAATAGTTTTACTACAAATGCTGAGTGGTTTTAGTTTTGATACTTGCAAATAAGAAGATACAAAAGAAGTTAATTATAAATTCATAAGGGTATTTTTTAGGAGAGATTAATTTTTGGGAAAGAAACGTTTTGGTTTTCTACTTCTCCGTCTTTATACAAGAAAAATGTGTGTGTCATATAGGTACTATGTTTGTTTGAAGGTGGTTGACAATGTTTCGTGATGCATTTCTTTAGTTCGGACTTCCATTGTCAATATGATTTGAAATCTCTGAAATAATCAATAAAAATTAAAAAGATTAGCAAGAAATAATAATTATATCAAGCAAAAAAAAACTGAAATTACAATGAAATAAAATACAAGCAAACATTAAAAATTTAACTATTAAGAAGAAATGAAAATTACAAATTATTAACAAGGAATGAAAATAAAAATTAAGTGAGGCTCTTTAATACAAAGTAAGATCTCGAGAAGAAACTAGGCAGTATCAAAAATGACCTTCAACGGAATGGTTACTCCAAAGTGATGGTGGAACAGACTTTGGCTAGAAGACAGCAGAAGCCTGACAAGGAAGAGAAGCCGCCACAACCAGTACTTGTACTTCCCCACATCAGAGGATTGTCAGAAAAGAAAATTGGGTCCAAGTATAACATCAGAACCCGCTTCAGAACTGGGAACACTATCCGTAGCAGCCTCACGAAAACCAGGCCACCAAACGCGGACTGCGATTCTAAGAATTGCATATACCGGATACTCTGCGAGTGCGGAGAATCATACATCGGTGAAACTAAGAGGCCATTGAAAGTTCGCATTGCCGAACACAAGAAATACACACAGCGAGGAGAAACCTGCAAATCCAGAATAGCAGAGCATGTCTGGACTCATCAACATAAAATCAAGTGATCTCAAGCTGAAATCATCCACAAGGAGGAATACTGGTTTAGAAGAAAATTCAAAGAAACCGCATATATGTTGTCCAACAACGCATTTAGCCAAGCTAGCGTAGAGATACGCAATATATGTAAACCTATTATTAAGCGGAACACGAACAACTCCCGCAAAACGATCAGCTTCCGCTGAAACCGATGAAGCGGAAAGAGGGGATAGGTGAAAGCATTCGAATGACCTATAAATAGTTAGATCTCGGAGAAATAAGTCCAGTAATCACTCGAAGACGATTGTGGATACTAACAATCGCAACGTCGTAAAGCAACTTGGCTTGTAAATAATTTTTAATTTTCATTTCTTGTTATTAGTTCAATTTTTATTTGTCGCTTGTATTTTATTTCATTGTAATTTCAGTTGTTTTGCTTGATATAATAGTTATTTTTTAGCTAATCTTTTTAATTTTCATAGATTCTTTCAAGGATTTTAAATTAATTTATATCATATTAGATAATGGAAGTCCGAACTAATGAAATATACTATGGGTGTGTATCATATACTATATTATGTATTTCTTTGCATAATCTACATATCTTTGTGAATAATTAATTTCTGAAATCATTTGATTACTTTATTTCTTTGGAAGATTCACACTTTTTTTTGTATAAAGATGGAGAAGTAGAAAGCCAAAAATCTTCCCAAAAATGAATCTCTCCTAAAAATATACCACCATCAATTTAAATAAGATTTGCAAACGCCATACCTAGATGATATAACGTATATATGTTTTTTCCACTTTCAAACAAATGAATATATGTTTATGAAAAAAAAGGATATCCAGAGCTTAGGATGAAGTTTCAGTTATGGGAGTATGAAACTTCAATCCATGCGGCAGCAAAATAGTACAATAGTAGATTATGCTGAATTATAACGAGAAAGTTGGTTAAAAAAATTATGGTTATACTAACCCTGATAGAATGAACATTCATTTCTAAAATATGCTCTGCATAAACTCCTACTTTTCCTACGCCTGAACAAAAATACGGACTCAGGACATGTCTCAATAGATTACTTTTAAGACAGGTTCTAAATTCTGCTTATCAAACCTCGGTCGAAAAACGAATATGGGACGGGCGCTGGAATTTACTGTGTGTGAATAAATTTACATTTCAGCTATCTGCTCGGTCAATACACACCCGTCTTTTAGACGAAAGTATATGCAATCTTGCAGTGTATAAGGAATATCAATTTGAGGTCTCAATAAAATGAGTGGATTCATATTTTCACAGACAGCCAGGCTGCAGTCAAGAACTCAAGATTGACTTCGAGACTAAATAAACTTGAGAACCAAAACAGATTCTGTATCTGTAGAGTAGGGAGGGTGAGTGTAGGCCCATAGCACTTAGGCCACATGTGACCCATTGTACATCCTCCCGAAGAGATGTTCTCCTAAGTCATCGTCCATCCTGTCCTTTCCAGGAAGGTGGACAGGTCACTGGGATACATCTCCTTTATATCGGCAGGTGTAGGCCAAGACTCGCCGAACACACACTTTTTTATTGACGATAACTCCGGAAACTCGCATAGGACATGTCTGACAGTTTCATCTTCCTGTTCACACATCTTGCATAGAGGTGTATCCAGTAGCCCCATAATATGGAGACCGAAACAGATTAATTCCACACTTGGTTTCTAGATACTCGGGAACTACGAGCAACGAAAAACTTAACGAGAATGCTAGACACGCATCATCTCCTTGTATTGGCCCTAAATCAACTGTGAGGTACCAAAATCTATGATACGAAACATTACTGAACAGGTCAACAAACAACATGAAAACAAAGATATATTTCCATTACAGATTGCAAGTCTGCATAGAGCATATTAAGATATACCTTATACGAGTCACAGGCTATCGGAAATAAATTTTTAAATGGTAAACAAATAATAAAACAAAAAGTTACATCGGAAATAAATTTTAGGGGTTGCGTTTTCCACCCCTTACAACCATGAGGTAAACCAAATAAATTACTGGCTAAGTGTCTTTTTGGTAGTACAAAACGTCAGGTTAATTTCAATATTGTAACTTTTTCAGTGCTCATGAAAAAAATTTCTATACAAATTTTATGTACCCCCTTTAAGGGACTGTATCTTAACAAGGGATGCTCCAATGAAGTTTCTTTATATGAAAGATCCTATCTTTTTTTCGATGAGGAATCACCTCCTTGAATGTTTTACACTTATTCAGTTACACCCTGTATAATTCGAAAAATAAATAACTTCTAAAATCATCGATTTTCTTACCTGTGTTTCGACTTCATTTGCAAGTACTTGCCATTCCTTGGTATTTCTGTCCAACAACTCAGGGGCCCACTTTACTCCTCCCACCAATTTGATGGTTGCTGCCAAATCGCATTCGTTCGTACACACCCCTGGCGTCGTTGGTTTTGGTGTCGTGGTTGTAGTCGTAGTGGTAGTCGTGGATGTAGCAATGGTGGTTTCGATAGTACGAGATGTACTTGAAGTTGCCGCCTTAGCAGCTTCCAAGAGTTTCTCTATCGAAATGGGAGTTGTGGATGGGGTAGGCCAGCCAGTGAATTCGGTTGTCGCTCTGCAGAAAAAAANTTTTGAGTTTTGGTGGGTGGGGCCTAGAGGGTTGATGGGGGTGAGTTCTCTTTCATGTCACTTTAGTTCTCCCTTACTATCCTAGAAACAGTTTCAAGCATTTTTCGATATCAGCTTTCGTTCGTGAGATGTAGCCCATTGTAAGTTTTAAAATTGACACTTTGTATAAAAAATTAGTTACGTTTCGTTTCCAGTGGAGGTGGTTTTGCGTTTCATCAGAGAAGGGATCTTGCTCCCGCCAACTTGGTTGGTGAAACGCGCATCGAGAAGAGATATGCAGTTCTGGTATGACATCTCACAGTAAGGGATTGAAATGCATTGTCGATGGATAAATTGTCATTTGGAAAAAATCTCCATGTGGAAACTTACTTTTTAGGAACTCAGAGGTATTTCTCAATTGCCTTGTCTTTTTTAGACCACTTACCTCGAAGGCCATCCTTTATGAATGGAAGGTGGTGTATTCCTAGCAGATTCTTCAATGTGGCTTTTTGGAGTCGTTCTTGTAGCTGACTTTCTGACGCCACCGCCTGGTCGAGATGGAAACACAACTTTACCTCCATTCGACGCAGCAGGTTTTTTTGTGGTTGACGAAACTGAAGCAGAAATATCAGCAACGTTCGATGTGTTGTCCTCCTGGGAAGGTTTGAATCCAGGTGGCAAAAATGCTGATAAATCTACTGGTTGAACTTTGATACCTGATAAATTAAAATCTATCAAGAACTGGTATATGAAAATACATTTCATATTCTAAGTTTCTCAGCGATGATCAAAAATATAATTTAAACTGGATATGAATAAAAAATGAGATTTGAACGACTATTAAATTATTTTTTACCTTGTAAAACATCCTGCTCAATCGGTTTCAATGTCGTACTGCTTGACAGTTTGTATCCTGGAGGTAAAAACTTGGACACGTCATCCACTTTCGTGTTCTTTGATAAACCACTTTCCGTTGTACTCTTATATTTGGGCACTCTGTAACCTGGTGGTAGGAATTTAGATATATCATCGGCTTTAGTGTTTTTGAATATGCTACTTTCAGTAGTTTTCTCAGTCTTTGATAGCTTGTAACCGGGTGGAAGAAATTTGGATATGTCATCAGATTTGGTATTCTTGAGAAAACTACTACTTTCTGTAGTTTTTTCATCTGATTTGGGTAATTTATAACCAGGTGGCAAAAATTTAGAGATATCGTCAGCTTTAGTGATCTTTGATAAGCTTCCCTCAGTGGTTTTTTCTTCAGTAGATGATGGTTTGTATCCTGGTGGCAGAAACTTGGATATATCGTCGGATTTAGTATTCTTCAGAAAACTACTTTCGGTTGATTTTTCTTGCTCATTTTGTGGTTTATAACCCGGTGGTAGAAATTTAGAAATATCGTCCACTTTCACATATGTTGATTTGCTGATCTCAGTTGTGGTTTTTCCATTACTCGTTTCTTCAACTTTTTTATTTTTGACTCTATTCAGAATTTCGTCCAATAACTTCGAACTCTTGTCATCACTTGCATTCAGTTTATATCCTGGTGGTAAAAGTGACGTCAATGTTACTTCAGTCATTTTTTTGTTTGGTTGGTCTCCTTGAGGCTGATTGACGTTGAAAGGTTTCTTGTTTTTAGGTTGGGGCCTTGGTCGTCTTGTGGTTGTTCTACGGTTGCTAGGAGAATATTTTCGAATATTCACTTGTGGATAGGGTGCTTTAGTTGTAGAAGTTGTGAGTTTTATATCTTCCATAGTGGACATATCTATTTTTTCCGGACTCTCTTTGATAACAGCAATATTGTTGCCCAACCCTCCTGTAACAAAACATAAAAGAAAAATTAAGAAAACTTGATTTATATGAGAGAAATACCTGTTAGCAAACCGGTAGACAAATCAGATTGGGCCCTATCCAATTTGTCGGTTAGACTTTCCGTCGATGTTTTAGGTTTTGTAGAACTAACAGTTGTAGTTTCTTCTTCGGTTGTATCTTCTTCTTCCGAATAGTTCTGCGTGGTTTCATCATCATCATGTTCTTGAGAGTGTTCATTGAGGAGCTTCACTCTAACATCTTGTTCTACTATTGAAGATGGAAGGTAGCTGTGAAATTCAATAAGATTTTTCATAATTTTTTTGAATACATTCGATGTTCAGAAAATGTTTGTCACTTTGAAATAGTTTCACTGGTGAAACATTTTTCCGATTTGAATACTCACCGTGCTCCGGAAACACTCCGGCTAGTTTGAACTGAAGCTATAACAACCCAGGTGTCTGTTGAATTTTCTACTTGTCTCATACCCGAAGATTCTGTGGCCGTTTTCAATGATTCTGTAACAGCTGGACTAGTAGTAGCAGAAGCTATGATGGTGTTGTTAATCACAGTTTTACTGGTTACCACTGAAGTTACTAGTTCTGGTTCTTCACCTAAGTCTTCGTAGTTTGCTACATGCTCGTCGTGTATAACAGGTACACTAAATGGAGTGACTACCTCTTCTTTGTCTGATTTCGTTTTATCCGAAGCTGGCTGGAAATGCGCTTTGTTCGTTGTAATTGGTTTTGTTGAGGTGGTCGTGGAAGAACTTCCAGATGTGTTACTCGTTATATTTCCTTTGAGTTGTTCAACCTGAACGAATATTAATAATATAGAAATATTGTTAACACGCAGATATTTCACAAAGGGATGCAGATGGTATATGTGAAAAATTTGAGGCAAAAAATAATGCACCTAAGAATGTGAACTTTTCTCAGGTTTTTTCCCAGAATCTCTAAAAATGCTTGGTGAAATAATTGCTCAGTATTGTGTAGTTTGACACAATACTGAGCAAATTACCTCATACCGATTAAAAGAAACCTGATTGAAATTTTGTATTTGTAGTCAATTCGATACCAATATTCATTTCTGTTTGCTTGATTTGTACAACTCTGCGTAGGAATTACTGACAAATGAGCATTATCCATATAGATAGGTCGAGCAACCATGTTAATTAAAAAGGACTGAAAATATGTATATTTTTACTGTACAGAATTGTGACTTCAATTTTGATATCATGACTACATGTCATCAATTCTTTGAGGATTTGTTTTGATGCAGATGTCAGAGATATATACGTACATCAAGATACATATGGTGTATCAATGATGGTTGGGGGGAAGATACTTGCTTACCTATTTGAAATGTTTCAAATGAAAATTGTAGAAAGTGATGAAAAGTATCTTTCAAAAATAACTGGAAATATACAGGCTGTTCAATGAACGTGTGATTTGTCGATGTAATATTAAAAAGAAACACCCTTATTTTCACTCAGTTGTTTTCCTCCATAAAAGTTCTCAAACAATTGGGTTAAGCTGGGTGCAGCCCCCTGGTACATTCCCTGCACGGGTATATACGTTTTAAATGCGTAAAGAAGTAGATTTCTTCATACATATGTAATTGCTAAAATTTCGTTTTTCCATCTTCATTAATTTCGGAAATATAAGCCCGTACTGAGACTTTTAGGACACTCGGTATAATTAATGAATGTTTTGTGGTAAGTGACTGACATATGACGATACTTTCCGTGCGAAGCCAAGAAGGAGGATGGATAGGGAAACTTTCAGAAATATAATATTTGCCTCACCTGCTTTTCGTGCAGTTCGTGATGTTCTTCATCATCTTCTTCATCGTTGTAATCGCTACTGTGAATATCGTTTTCTAGACTACCATCCGATTTATTGTTCTCATGAGATTCATAAATTTCATCAGAGTAGTACTCGGTACTATCGAAGGGTTCTTGGGTATCCACTTCGACGTATTCGTAATTGTCATGAGTAGGCTCGGTAGCATTGACAACTGAGCTTTTCCCAATATTTGAAGTTTCATGAGGTGACTTGATTACCTCCACTTCATCATCGTTGTTGGTACCGAAGTCGTATTTGAGTGGCTCTTCCAAAAGTGGTTCTAAGTCCCCGGCCTTTTCTCTTTTGGGGATGAAGCTTTTTTTGTTTTTATCAAAGTTGAAAGCTAATGACTGTCCTAGCGATGAGCTCGAGCTTGAATCTAGATTTGGTTTCGCAGGTTGCTTTGTGGGACTTGAAACGTCTCCGTTAGTATTGACGAAATAGTTTCTCACTTGAGACTTGCCCGTCCTTTTGCTAGAGGCTGGTGCAACTATTCTGGTTCTGCAAAAAACGAAATCATATTAAAACTTTGGTTCCGAAAAAATGTTTTGCAATACCATTAGTACTCGAATAGGTATGTTTTTTCAGTAATTTTCGAAAATTTACTTTTTAGTCTCTCAAAGTTCCATCTTACAAACTAACTGTTTTAATTCCAAAATATAATGTATTATTTATGTGTTGTAATAGTATGGAACCAAGTGAGTTATTTCGTAGAAATTTCAAATATAATTGAAGGGACAGCAATATCAGCTATTATGAAAAACTATATATAGAAACTATATGCAGGAGATTATTAAATGAGTAATTTTTGGTGTACAAAGGCAGTGAGTGCTCTAATTTTACGAATGAGTTTCACGTTTCAACAAATATTTTTTCCTAAACACATAATTTTCAAGTACAGATATATTTTGAATGAATGACGATGACACAGTGAAATTTTCAGAGAACAATAATGTCTGAAAAAGTTACAATACAGAGTGTCATCTCTTTCGACTGGTTGACAATATATTGTAGTGCATCACAGATAGTTTGGTTGCATGATATTCGAGTTGAATAGCTTCCTTTCTGGTAGTTTATCAGATCTACGAGAGAATGAATGTTATATCCTACAGATAATTAGCAAAAGGAATACATGGGAACCAATGTTGGAAAAACGAAGAATCTCTTTTCCTTGACTACATCAATATATTGTAGTGCATCACAGATAGTTTGGTTGCATGATATTCGAGTTGAATAGCTTCCTTTCTGGTTGTTTATCAGATTTACGAGAGAGAGAATGTTATATCCTACAGATAATTAGAAGTAGGAATATATGGGAACCACTGTTGGAAAAACGAAGAATCTCTTTTCTTGACTATGTGATATNTGTATAAAAAGTAACCTTATCGTTCGCGACGGTTAGAGAAGATTCCGACAACGTCTTCAAAGAAGGTTGAAATCCAAAATTGGCTGCAATCAAAGAATATTAGCTTTGAAGACTCAATTCTAAGAGTACAGCTACTTAAAACTGTTAAGGAGCACAAGCTTGAATACCAAAAATATATAGTCGATGAGATGGCAGCAGGCCAAAACAAAACTGTCCTTCGCCTGTCTCCATACCACTGCGCGCTCAGTCCCATCGAGTTAATATGGACGGATGTGAAGAATTTTGTAGCTCATCATAACACCACGTTCAAATTTGCAGATCTCAAAGTACTTTTTGATGAGGCTTTGAAAAGAGTCACAGCGGAGAAATGAGAGAAGTGTGTTCGGCATGTGATATCGGAAGTCGAGACAAAGATGTGGAAGCTTGATAACATAATAGAGGCACAAATCGAGCCCAAAACTTGTGCATTTCACTTGTTATTATAAAAAAGTTTTCCTAAGTGTGATATAGCATTTGCGATCAACAAGATGTTGGTTCTGGATACGACCTTGGCCAATGCTTGGGATTTTCAATATCATGTGCGTAGGGCATGTCAATTTTTACATCCACTCTATCTTGGATTTGAATTTGCTTTAGGTTTCGGAGAAAATACTATTCAATTTTTTACACGAGATCAAGTAAAATAGTGACAAAAAATATCAGACACTAATAAAGTAAGAATAAGAGAGGTACAATTATCGGTCAGTTTGGATGTAAGTAAGACATGAAACCAATAAAACAGGTGGTCTTTAGAAAACCAGACTCGATTGAAAGGACGACAACTTTTTTTGCTTGATTTCTATGGACGGTAAGTCATTTCTTTATTGTGGAAGTTTAAACAACGTTGGATCCTTCTCTGGCAAGGATTTATACAAATCAGTTAATCGAACTCGAGCTATTTTTATTTGCGATCTCATAGTAAAACCCAAGCGAAGAGCTATCTGTATTCTAGAATACAAACAATTCAAGTTACCTGTTTTGTCTTACTTCGAATAATCGGTTTCTCGCAATACTGAATTTCGAAATTCTCTAATAATTAATTTAACGTACCAAAAATGTACCATTATAACTTAATGCTGATTTCCATTTACCATTTACTCCAGTCCCCGTCTCTGACAATTCTTAGTTTAATTGTGAACATACAGTCATACTGAAAACACATTCCGCTATAATACTTCGAAGTTATGTTACATCCTCGAAAGTATTTTCTTTTCTCTGGTTGCTGATCTCTATGAATTAATTATCTTTGTTTCGAAATGTTATGGAACATATTGAGTAGAAATATCTTCAATGCATAGTTTGTATGGACGGAACTCTGACCTTTGTTATGGCTCTGAATAAAATACATGAATTGAATTGTCTTCCAGTTGAGTTGAAATCAATCGTATTGCAACTAAAATGTAATATTAGCATTCTTTTGGTCCAGATCCGAAACCGAATCGAAGTTCACTGATACCTACATAAAATTCAAAGCCCACTTTCTGGAATACTCCATAGTATTCCGCCAAGTTTCATTGTGAAAGTTTCAGGCGATGTAAATCATTTCACTGTTATGTGTTTCTAGAAATGATTTATACTCCTACTGCCATAGTAATGAATTCCTCAAGATGACTTCGTATTCTATTGTTCGGTGTTTGCTTTGTTCATTCAAGTTATCTGCTGTCTTTGAGTTCAAGAGGTACTTCAAGAAAATTTCTCATCATCTCATACTTTGCTAGAATTTATGATTTTGACACTTGTTCACTATTTCTAACGAAATGATAAATAATCAATACCCTTGTAGTATACCTACAGAATAAACACCTGATACCCAGTTGGGAAAAAACTGTTGTCTCTTGACTCTCGACAATACATCCATAGTAAATACCGGAAAATAATTATGTGTTAATTCTTCGGGAACACTGAGTGATATGGGTTAAAAAAACAAAATGAATGCCAGGTTGAGAAACAGAAATGAAAGTAGAGTTAAAACAAATGTATTAATAAATGAAATGTCAAGAATATACTAAATAGAGAAATAATAATAAAACCAAAGCTAAAAGATACGAGTAACATCAAACTTTATGGACATCAATATTAATTTGAATAAAAACATATTGCGACGGGCAAATTTCTATAATCTGGGATACATTTGTTGAAAACAAGAAGATATAGTCCAAGAATATTATTCAAATGAAGGCAAGTATCTCGGAATAAAAGATGGTCAGTTGTAAAGTTGTATAAATCTTCATTTTGGCACTCTTAAACTTGACTAGAAACCTATTTAGAGTAGAGTAGAGTGTCCGCGACTACAGGTATGCCAAGGTCAAAGGTAAAAAATCGATTAGTAACATATTTACTGTGAATATCTCGTTTCCTATGGGTTTTATGCTACTCATATTTGAAATGAAATATTGTAGATTATTGAATTCTCTACAACTTTTGTTTAAACATTTGTTCATATCCTGAACCATTTTCGAAACAGAGGGCGGAACGCGCGTATTGTTTAATTATTTAGAGTATCATTTGTGGTCAACCCCTGTAGTCCCGATATTAAAAACACGCCATATAAAGTTTATGAACTATTGATGAATATATGACGAAGATCACTGGTTGATAATTTCATGAAATAAAATTATAAACCGCTTATGACCGCTTTCAATCTGTCAAAATCAATGATTGTGAAGTTTCAGTTGATCCATTATTACTCTCCCAAAGAATAACAGTCAGCAAGCCATTTGAAGAATATCTCAAATATGAATTGAGCCTGTATCCAATATAATGATTGCATGGGAAAAACAAGGATATCGACATTATATGAAAATATAACATTCATCGTTCATTATGGATGATGGATTTCTTCTGCATCGCGTTGTATGAAGTAGAGAAGACACTTTTTCTATTATTATAGATTGATATGTAGTTTATTTACAAAGGAATTATGGTTCGGAAGTTATTGTTGCATTTCATGAATATTCAGACTGTATTGAAAACATAAAAAATGGAGTAGTAGAGAAGAATTGCTGTCCTTTTAAAAACATACAAAGTTTGTTCCGGCGAAACCTTATTTGTACCTATCACCCAAGAAAAATTTCTATCAAATCGAATTGATAAAAAAAGCCAATCAATATGCTTGTTGAAAATTTACAAGCTGTTAATATCACAACAAAACAGGTCAGAGATGATGCGGATGTTCTCATTATTAAAACAGCTATTGATGAATCGGAACGTCAAAAAACTTCTGTTATAATAGGAGAAGATAATGATTCACTTGACATTTCAATTGGGCTCACCCTTTCTCATCATCAAGAAATGTTCTTCAAAAAAATTGGCAAAGGAAATGTAAACACTGAAATATACACTAAAGTTTCGATGAATAACCTCGTCCTAAAAAACACATATTGTTTCTTCACCCAATACGTGGATGACACAACTTCTGCACTCTTTAGAATGGTTGTGGTTCGCGATATGGATGCCGGAAGCAGAGTTGCAGTGATTTTAGCTTTCTCCAGTGTAATGGATAAGTTTGTTTTAACGCTTTACCTCAGAGTGATATCAATGAAGACGGTAGTTTCGACCACGAAATCCTGAAAGAACTGAAACAAATGTTGAAGACGAGAACAAGAGGAATTTGAAATTTTACAGCAACTGGAAGACGATGAAGAAGAAGAATGAAAACATGAAAATTAGAACTTTTAGTAGTTTTCAATAAAAACATTGTTTAAAATCTTTATTCTATTTTTTCATTTAGTTAGGAAGTAATTAGTATAAATAAGTGTGGTGATATTGGATGATTAATGCACTAGTTTTGAGGTCTAGTTTCATCTAATCCACAGACTTTTTTATTGGTTATTATATGGACTTTTTGTCGATTCCTTATTTGAAAATTGTTGAATTGATCATACATTTGAGAAAAATTCGTTTTTATAGAAAGTTATTCACAAATTCAAAAAGTAATTAACACAAACCATCATTCTTCATTTCGCCTATTATAATGAATATATTTTGTGAAGACAAAAATTTCCATTTTGTTCTTATTTTGGCAACTGGTTGAAAGTGCTGTTGGAAACAAAACTCCGAATTTGAAATTTTGATTCTCAACATAGTTCAACAAAAATGTTCACTCATGAACTTGGGAAAAAAACAATTTTTGTATTGTCTCATATCGAGGTGAAAGTTATCCATTTCAATTGAAATATAAGATATAAATAAATGTCACCAACCTGTGGTTCAAATAATCCGGTCTGTTATTGCTACCAAAATGGATTGAGTTTCCTCTGGTATCTTCCAGTGGTTCTCTGAATCCTTCAGGTGACCCTACTCTTTGTTTTTCTGGAAAGCCTCTTGTGGACTTGAAATTCTCGAAACGTCCTGATTCTCTAGCGGGGTTCTGCAGCGTTATCTGCCCTAAAAACGTTTCTGTTTGAGATGGATCTCTGTTGTGTGTTTTGGCGAAGAGATGTGAGTAGTTTGGCCTGATGGTAGTGGGTTTTAGGTTTTGGAGTTGTCTGAATCCTGAAGGAGTGGATCTTTGGCCCGTATTCTGATCCTGGAAGGAGAACTGGTTGTAAGGGTTTCCATCCTGGAACTGAAATAATAGTTGCTTACAGGGAATAGTAATGGAGTAAACATCAAAATATCTTTATGTGCTGACGCAAAATGTGCTTCCCTTTTTACTTTCAAATGGGACTAGAATGGAAATATTGTACCACCTATTGAATATCTTTCTTTCTCAAATGAAAAGGTATATATTGTGATAACTCAATTGATACGTACTTTAATTCTCTATTCACTACTGAAGAACAGTTTATGAGCTGATTTTATATCATATTATAAACTGAACTTCGCCTTTTGCTTTGGGCCAAATTCATATCATATGTGTATTTTTTTTTGTTCTATGTATGTAAGCAATAAAGTCGTTTATTATTATTATTTGTGAAAACCGAATACTGGACGATTTGCAATTTTATGCTTTCTTATGAATTGGCAAACAGAAGATAATTATTATAATTTCAATACAAAATTATTCGAAACTCTCTTCATTTCATTCTATTCATTTTCTGACAATGATGATATCTGTTCACAATTTCATTTTATACATTCCGGAATATTGAGTTTCAAACCTTTCATCTGGGGAAGGAGGTAAGTAACATACATTTATACGCCCATTCTACAAGCTGTTTTTATTTTCATTCATGCGTACTTTTGATGTACTTTCAGTTTGACCCATGTTAAACATCGGACACGACTTTGTTGTTTTCAATTGTTATTTTTGGTTTCATAAGGTTTAGACTTTTATTTTATAAGAACTTTTTACTTATTTACTTCAGGCTGACTCAGGTAAATTATTGTTTTATCTTCTCAATTCTCGTCTCTTTTATCATCATTCAGTTTGAGTCTAGTTGCAGTAAACCAAGTGTCTGTTGGATTCTATTTTATAAGTTAGGCTGCCGTGGGAATTACTTGAGCATAGTAAGGTAGCAAATTATACACAATTCATACAACATTTAATGCTAACAGTTGTTTCGACCTACTGTGTCATCTTCTGGTATATGATGTCATCTCCTTAAATACTAAAAGTTGCATTAGTAGGTAGAAAGAGGTATCAAGAGGCATTTGGGAAATTACTAATAACATTATTGATGATTGATATAAGTAGTTTCCCAAATGCCCCTTGATACTTCTCTCAACATACTAACGAAACTTTTAGTATTTAATGCAACTTTTATTATTTAAGGAGATGGCATCATATACCTAGGTGCTGATAACTTGCTCAGAAGATGACCTATTCCCACTTCTTGTCGGAATCATTGGAGAAGGGCTGCCAGATTGACTCACTGTATAATGACTTCTTTAAGGCGTTTGACAGGGTCAACCATAACCTCTTACTCCAAAAGCTCAACAGATATGATGTAGGTGGGGTTCTACTGGAATGGATTAGTAGTTATCTCACGAATAGGACTCAAGTGGTTAGGGCAAATTATCACTACTCCACGTTATTCAAAGTAACCTCTGGTATTCCTCAGGGGTTACTCCTCGGTCCCTTATAATAATAATAATAAATCGTCTTTATTCATCTTTGGACACATATGTAAAGAGATGCCAATAATAGGTATTCGATAAAGATAAAGTGGCGAAGTGTCACCAGTGGGTGTTTTTTAACTTAACTATGGAAATACAATATTAATTTAAAATTTTTTTAATCTTCTCAGCTATAATATCTACGATGAGTATAATTCTATTACATTGTAGAATAATTTTGCTGTCTGATATCTATCAAATTAATGAGTACCTTAAATACATAAAGTGATTGACTGGTCATTATCCGTTCTGTAGATGCAGAGTTCGACATTTGTTAATCATATTGAGCTGATAATAGGGATTTCAACTTTTTTTTGAAGTTCATCAGAGTATATGTACTGTAATCATGGGGAAGTGGATTATAGAACTTACAGGCGTAATACGTGAAAGATCGCTGAAAAATGGAAGTTTTATGTTTGTACATTGCCAGTAACCCCGAGTTACGAGTGTTATAATAACTCAGATTCCCTATTTTAATTAGTTTGTTATATAGATATGTTGCTGTTCTATATTTCAGTACTTCATGAGTCATATTTAATATATGTAATTTTCTCATATCTAAAAATTTCAGTTTTCGCATTTCCCGATATTTATGACTTATGTGCTCATATTTACGTATTCCGAAGGAAAGTCTGATACAAGAGTTCTGTATTTTTTGAAGTTGACTACTGTCAACACTCAGAAGAAGCGGGTCCATAAATGTAGTCACAGTAAGCCAGTTTCGATAAAATGAATGATTCACATACACGAATTTTCAGAGCGGAACTCATGAATTGTCTACTTAGATAAAGTTGTTTGAGTGTATTATATGAACCTCGGCAAAGTTGATTGACATGTTTCGTGAACCTCACTTCATTGTCTAACCAGAGTCCGAGATTTTTTGTTTCATTTTTCATGGGAATTTTTTTCCCACCCAAAATAATGTCGATTGAGGTACTGGCTAGATTACGTTTGAGTTTCGGTCCGAAAAACAATGCACTGGACATACTCGCGTTCAACTTCAGATTATGTGCTGCAGATACATTTATCAAAGAATCCAGATCCGAATTTAAAGCAGCGGTAACATCGGGTTCCACTTCATTGAAAGATAAGTACAACTGGGTATCATCCGCGTAATGGTGTATGCGGCAGAATTTGACGAATGAATGAAAATCTGAGATGTACAAAGAAAATAACAGTGGGCCCAATATTGATCCTTGCGGATCGCCATGGCTCAAAGCAAGGGTCTCTGAGGATTCGAAGTCATGAACCACTCTCTGTGTTCTTCCCTTCAGGTAAAATTCCAATAGTTTCACTGAATCAGGGTGGAATCCAAAAAACTTTAATTTACTAATGAAAACCTCATGATCCATGGTATCAAAATTATTCAATTTATTTATTAATGACATTATTCATTGCTTCCGGCATGCCAAAGCACTATTATTTACAGATTATTCAAAACTTTACCTAATTATTGAAACCTCATTGGGTTCCCGTAGGCTTCAGTCACAATCTATCAAACTGGTGCTCCTTGAATATCATGGACTTAAATGACACAAAGTGCCATGTCATGTGCTTTCATCGATCCCATGTAATCTCATGTACCTTCTACCACTTTTAATTACATTTTAAATGGTCATATCTTGAAGACCTCGGTGTTGTTTTTGATCTAGCGTTGAGCATCAATCTACATACACCCACGGCTATCCATAAAGACATGAAAATGCTAGGGTTTATCAAACGGCTAACTCACGAATTCACTGACCCAACTGCTACTAAAGCCCTCTATTGTTCACTGGTCCGTCCACACCTGGAGTATTGTTCTTCTGTCTGGTCCCCTCTTTGTATACCTCATAATAAGAACATCGAAAATGTCAAACACAACTTCCTCAGATACATAGCACATAAATCGAGTGTTCATTGCGAGTATGACTTGCTACTGCAATCTCTGAGCATGTCCTCCCTGGACACTAGGAGGAAACAGAGAGATCTTACACTACTTTTCGATATTATTAACGGCAAATTCAGTTGTGCTAAACTCTTAGAAAATATTTATCTACATGTTCAAAACCGCTCAACTCGACAGCAACAAACATTTTACATACCATTGTATCGTTTGAACCACACATTTAATAGCTGCATTCCAAGAATCTTACGATTAGCCAATAGTAACGTTGTTGATCTTGAGATGTTTAACATCTCCTTTCATCATTTTAAAACTCAATAACGGAATACTGTGCTTTAATGTTTTAGTGAATATTTTATGGTAGTATATGTAGTATATGTTTCATTGTCACTCATTGTTTTTTGTCGTTTTATACTTCAAAATTAACCTCTTTTAAACTATAAATTTATCCCTTTCAAGCTATTCTTAGTTGAAATTTGTAATTCAGTACCTTATTTGGTTTTATTTTATTAATAATTTATCATTGTAATTTATACTTTGAATAGACTTGCCCGTAAATAAATAAATAAATAAATGAAATAAATGACAAGTGTGTCGAAACAGCTGTTAGAATTGAATGTTAGTGTTGTGTAAATTGTGAAGTATTATTTTCAATGATGATTCAATCCATGAAATGAAAATGAGTTTACACATATTACAAGCCGAAACTGTAGAACAAATAATACACATTTTGTTGGTACAACAAAACTACATAAATCGTTGTTGTAAATTATGAGCAGTCTGTAGAAGTTGCGGCCCTCACAGGGGGCCCCAACTACTACAGATCATAGTACAGAAAGTTGACTTCATTTCAGTAATTCGTGTAGATAGCATATTTAGATTAAACTTACGTTCAATATTTGGGATGGTCGTGGCGTTCTGTACTGTGGAAGCGTGTTCTGCAGGTGTATTGGAAGGTCCGAGGTTTGGAGGTCCCGCGATTGTAGGTAGCTCGAGTGTGAATCCAGGGTTCGAAAGGGAGATTGTTGAAATGGAACGATCTCCGAAGGGTTGATGTACTGATTTTGATTCCGCTGCAATGGATAAAATGGAGAGCCTGCCTGCCCCGTGAAAACGTAGTCCTGACCTGTAAATGAAGATGAAGCAGTTGAAGTTTTGGTGTTTCAATAGGAGTTCATTATAATGGTTGTAAGTTTAACTTCAATTTTCGACTGTAATATAATTGGTTTAAAGAAAAAACTATTATTCGTGGATCAGATTTCAATAGAAGCTTCGGAATTTGAGGAAATGTATTGAATGAATTCTGTAATCCAGGGTTCGAAAGGGAGATTGTTGAAATGGAACGATCTCCGAAGGGTTGATGTACTGATTTTGATTCCGCTGCAATGGATAAAATGGAGAGTCTGCCTGCCCCGTGAAAACGTAGTCCTGGCCTGTAAATGAAGATGAAGCAGTTGAAGTTTTGGTGTTTCAATAGGAGTTCATTATATTTATAATGGTTGTAAGTTTAACTTCAATTTTCGACTGTAAGATAATTGGTTTAAAGAAAAAACTATTATTCGTGGATCAGCTTTCAATAGAAGCTTCGGAATTTGAGGAAATGTATTGAATGAATTCTGTTAGCAATTTTGGGAGTTGGGAAAATAATCATTCCATGAGGGACTCCTATAATAACAACGATAAATTTAACAGCCAGGAGTTCCAGTTCGATGACAGACTTATTGGATACACCAAACTCAAAAGTCCACTGCCACCCTATTGTTGAGAAATATTATGCAAACTTTATTGGGGTTTTCATGTCAAGTTAGCGTTATTTCTCTCAAGTTCACCTCAAGTTCCGATGATCACATCTTCGGAGTGGATGGTGATACGAGTACTTATCGCGAAAAAAAATCTTCATATCAATAAGTATCACCATTACCATTATTGATGTCTGTTTTAGATAGACGTACTATAAATTCTTGCTATAAAGTGTTTCCCAGCTAAAATCTGTCACCAGCCTGATATCGGGAAAAACTGAAAATCGCTCAACCCCTCCCCTTAGGGAAAATTCTACAATAAAAAAAACATCTTGGCATCATCACCCCAGCACTCTCACAACGTTATTTCAGAATAATCACAAGGACTTTCGTACTTACGATACAATAGTTTTAAAAAATTCAGTGACAAATATATCTGCATAATGCAATCAAGAGTCGACTTGCTGTTGTGAAGAATTCAATAAAAAATTAGTGTCAGGTTTATCATATGAAATTGAGCTATGTGAGAAACATTTCGGATTTTGAATATTCTCACAAATGAAAGTCAAATAGTGATGAATCAGGTGATTTCGTAAATCATTTCATTGGGTATCGTCTTCCAAACAATTTTGCTGTGAAATTTTCATTCGAAATCTGACGTACAGGTGCAACAAAGGTGCTTTTAGAAGTTGAAATGACCTTCAAGTGAATAATCATCGTCTTCAAGTAGCTTATTGTGGGATTCCCAGTTATATTGAAAAATTCAAGAAATTTTCAACAGTTGAAGTTACCATCAATAAAACATGGGCCTAAAATATGGTTCCTGTAAGTCCAGTCAATTCATTTCAAAACGTTTAGTGATTGCTTTTATGAATAATAAATGTTGGTGAGTTGAATTGTATGTAGGAGCCCTGAAGATGCATAAGCCTCTATAGCGATAAAGAAAGCTCAGTCCAAACATTCAATTTCTGGAATTTAAGTGATAATTCATTGTGAGACTTTCAGTGAATAGTTTACAAAAAAAGCACGTGTTTAGTTATACAAGAGAACACGAGAACGCATGAGGAAGCTATTGTATAGCGAAACACATTTTGCGGTTTTTTAAGCGATTCAGCGAAAATCTCGCAATGAATTTTCACTTGAATACTTTATGGATTTCCATCAAGTATCGACCAATTCCATCACATGACTTCTAGAATGTTGCATGAGTTTTATTGAGTGATTTGCGTCACTCTAGTCCTCAAGATTCTTTACCAATAAATAACTGACTTCTAATTTCACAAAATTCTATTCGTCTTTGTTTGTTCATGATTCAAACTTCATGAACTTTCTCCTTTCCTTATATCACGTATTGAGGTACTTATATCACAATTTTTTGAAAATATAAGCAGCAACTGAAAAAGATATGAAGGGATTGAAGATGAGTGTCGCGCAGTGATTTCACAAATGTGAAGACATTCAGATTATCACTTATCACTTGTATGTTTCACAGTTTGAACTCTTCATATGATCAGGTAATGGAAAAAATGATAGTTTCATTTATATCCCCAGGTATTCGATTAGATTTCCACGATAGAAAGCAACACTAACAGATTATTTTTTGATTGATTTCTGAATAGTCACCAGTTGCCAGGAGAATAACTTCCACCAGACTTGACAAGGGAGCGGGCAGAGACTCCTTTATGGACAGTCCGGAATGACAAAAGATCTCCAAGTACGGCTAGCAGGAAAAAGATCGTGATGTTTTCTCTTGGAATGTTGTTCGGGGCGAACAATCTCAGGAAGAGGGGTTGTGTGGCGTTACACGATTATTCTAGTTTTCCCGTCGTTTCGATAGACTTCAGCGAATTCCTCATCGGCTTCGAGTTACTTCGATTACCATATATAAACACTACCCACTCGCATATCGGATAGTTAAGTTTAACTGACAGTGCGGTACAGAGCGACTCAATAAGGTGATAGACATTTGAATATTAGTTGAAGTTTTAGTTGAAGTGTTTGTTTGTATTAACAGTGCAATAAAGTTAAGTTTTGATTATTGTACAGTGTAGTTAATTATTGGTGAATTCACGGGAAAAACGTAACACTATTATGATATTATTCTCTGGAGTAACTTCTGCTTACAAGTTTTGAAAATATAATACTGAGTAATGCACTGTACAGAACCCACCCCAACCTCTGTGTTTGAAATAATTTTATTATTCACAAATACTGTCTTATTCGCACAATTATGAACGATTCATTCGTTCAGGATGTTGAAACAGGAATGAATTCTCTTGGAGAAATATAAAATAAATAGTCACTGACTACACCTCTGACTTCTAAAATATGTGACGTAGTATTATATTACTTAGTTGTACTCATTTTGAACCTAACCTAGTACAAACACATACACTTCGTTACAGTACAGGTTGAAGAAAAACTCATACTCTCATCTTTCATACTTCCATCTTCAATGAACACAATAATATGAGTAGGTTGCAAAAAATTGAAATCAAAAACATTCCCGGGATATTCCTCTTCAATGCTGAGAAAAATCAATTGCAAGACCCAAGTACATACCATTGTAATGTTCGCCGCATACTCCGAAACACATTAAAGTGCCAAATAGTGAATTTCCCAACCGAAGAGTTCTGCTATGCTCCACATCCAGTTCCACAATCATCATCTGCAGGTACAGATTTTCCATATCGGAAACGTACATACAGTAAATCTCATTCGAATTCATGTGCCCAACGGAAGTAATTCTCTTTATATTTCCAGCTTTTCATGAGCTCCCAAATAATAGTCTAGTTTACAAGAGTTATTTTATCAAAAACCCGTCCTCTAAGACTGAAGATTGAGATTGATAGAGGTCGGCGAAAACTGCAGAAGAGCGGAAAAATTCCTAAAAATGTTCCACCTTCCTGAACTGTAGGGGTGGAATCTTAAATTTTAATTTCGATGTGAAAGTTGATTATGATTATGACTATTGAAGAAAACACTGGTATTATCTATATTCATGACTGAGCAAATCCGCCAAAGAAATTTATTACAATTTTTCAATTAAATATGATAATGTTGATTGATAAATTTTTGCAGCATAATTCAACAATTCAAAATCCAGGATTTGGAACTATCGTTCAAAGGCTTCATTGGAAAAATGAAAAACACTTCTTCAACAATCATCAGCATTGCAAAATTGAAAATGTGAATGAAACAACTGAAATTTTGGTTCACCTAAAGCTTTTGTTTAGAAAATTGTCCTAAATTAATATATTTTTAACATCATTTTCACAAATAACATTTCATGTAAAAATTATAGTTTATGAAAAAATACGTTTTGTACTTATTCAATTGCCGAAAAAGAATTAATGATTAATATTTTTTCATTATGGCCTTGAACAAAAAGAACTGAGAACATTTCATTTGTTTAAACGATAAGTTATAACCGAAAGCATTTTTGGGGTTATATTCTTCATTAGTATAAATATCAAAAGAGATATTGTTCTTTTCTGATATAATCTTGAATAATTCCAATATACTTTGTAATACTGAAGAATCCATTTGTATATAATAAATTGTTTATTGAATGAGGTGATTGATAAATGAATTTTAGAACCCATGACGTGAGATGAATCTATGGAAAATACTTCCTATACTAGGACAAGAATACTGTTTCTTGACTAAGACAGACCTAGTCATCTTAAGATGTTGCTGAAATGTTTAGCAAAATTGGCGTCGAGAGACAGTATATTTGATCTGGCATGGAAAAAGTATTTTCAATAGATTTGAATATTTTTCAGTCACACCTCGTGAAACGAATGTTAGTTCTACATGAAATATATGAATTTTTTGTACACCCGTACTCTAACAATACACTTATATGACCATAATCCGTTTCATAATGATATCCATTATGATACAGATTTTTCATAACGATACAGATTATCAACCAATAGAAACCCATAATTTTTCAATCAAGAATCCTGTTCCTTTGTTTGTCCTAGATTCTAACCTAAGTTAAATTGCTTTATTTGTCAAAATCAGTTTTCATATTACCTACCTATATTATCAAAATGTCTGAAAACAGCGATATAGAAGGAATACCATCGACTCCAATATTTTTAAAAGATCAGATTAATTACAGTTGTTATATTCAATATAAATATAATTAGAATCTTTATAGTTTTCATATATCCATGATAATACCATTAAGTTTGTGTTTTTTTTTAAATATGAGTTAATTACTGTAAATGTGTTCAATACAAATATAATATTTATAGTTTTTCATTATTTATCGGGTTTAGAAAAAATAGCGTATGCAACTCTCATGTAATGGTTATTAATACACTCGCAAATACCATACAAAACTCGCCTTCGGCTCGTTTCGTATCCCGGTTAATGC